GGCCGCTGCCCCGGGCGCCCAGCATGCCGGTGCATTACACCCTGAATCTGCGCGTCTTCTGGCCCCTGGTGACCGGCCTGTGCACCGCCATCGTGTGCCTCTATCATGCCCTGCGGGGAAGTGGGGGCACTCCAGCTGAGCCCCCCGACGGCACAGACTGCGGCTTCCCGCTGCTCAAAGCGGCCGCCCTGCTGCTCCTGGGCTATGTGCTCTTTCGCTACCGCCACACTGTCCGCCAGCGGTTCCTTCCCCGGCCCCCACGCTTGGGGGACCACCCCACCATGTCTCCACGGCCCTTTGGAGAGCCTGGCCTTGGCATCTTGCTGGAGAGTTACTACGAGCACGAGGTGCGCCTGTCGCCGCACGTGCTGGGTCACAGCAAGGCGCACGTAAGCCGGATCGTGGGGGAACTGGTGCGGGCTGGCCGGGCCCGATCATCTCCAGGCCCCATCCTTGGTGGGACTTTGGCCTTGGGCTTCCGCGGAGACTTCATACAAGTGGGCAGTGCCTACGAGCAGCATAAAATCCGCCGACCCGACGGCTTCGATGTGCTGGTGCCTCTGCGCCTTCCGCCACTGGTGGCGCTGGAGCCGCGGAGCCTGGGCGCGGAGCCCACGCTGGCCCCTGGTCTGCGCAGCTGCTTCTTGTGCGCGCTCAAGGCACCGCCCACGTCATCCGGGGTCTCCTCGGGTAACTGGCTCCGGGACTGCAAACCTTTCGCCGACGGTTTCTGCGTGGACGTGCGCGGTCGGCGTCACCTCTCCGCCACGCTGGTGCTGCGCTGGTTTCAGTCGCACCTACAGCGCTGTCTGGCCACTGTCCGCTACAGCCTGGAGGAGCGCTGCCGCGTCAGCCTGACCCCGGGAGGACCGGAGCAGCCGCCCACCTTGCACATCCTGCCCTGCCGCACCGACTACGGCTGCTGCCGCCTTTCCATGGCCGTGCGTCTCATCCCTGCCGTCCATCTTGGCGACGGCGCCTTCCTCGTGGCGCCACCACCGCCCCCGGCTCGCGCTGGGCCGCTGTCGGAGCTTCCAGGAGGTTTACGCCCGGAGGCGCTGTGGGGAGTGAACACTGCGCGCCAGGAGCAGAAGCTGCTGAGCTGGCTGCAGGAATGGGCCCCTCCAGGTGCCTGCTACCTCAAGTGCCTGCAGTTGCTTAAGGCCCTTAGAGACCTAGGTGCCCGAGGACTGGACTCTGGGGCTGCCCAGCATTGGGGGAGCATTCTGTCCTCCTACGTGCTCAAGTCAGCGCTGCTGGCGGTGCTGCTGCACGAGGGGCCAGCCGCCCAGGACTGGGATGAGATGCACCTGAGTGAGCGCCTGGAGGAGATGGTGCAGTTTCTTGCGGATTGCCTGCTGCAACGTCGTGCGCTCTTCCATTGCGTCCTTGGCCCCGGTGGGGCGTCTCCTGAGGTGGGCCCCCTGCCCAAGGTGCTGCGTGAAGCCCCTTCAATCGACCTCCTGGCAGCTTTCGACCAGCGCGTCCGGGATCTCACAGCTGCGCGGTTGCTGTCCACGTGGCGAAGGCTGCCTCAGCTTCTCCGGGCCTATGGGGGTCCTCGCTACCTTGCCAGGTGCCTCCCACCCCGGAGTCAGCGCACCCAGGAGTTCCCGGAATACGAACTGTAAACCCCGACAGCGCCATCATCTGACCAAAATGCTCCTAGAGCTTCGAAGGGTGAGGGAGGGCAGTTAAACCCGTTTAATCTGGGGAAGGTGAGCTGCGCAAAGTGCGGGGAGTTTGGCGGCAGCCTCAAGCTTTTGTGGCTTAAATGGCACCCTTGGCTCCACAGTTATGGCTCTTTATTCACACCCACCTGGGTGGCCTACGATAACTGTGGAAAAACCATCACCAAAGCGTGTAGCAGCTCAGAATTGGCCCAAATATTCTGTATGGGGTGAATGAACCTATAGCAGGACTGCTTTTAGGAACATGAAACAGGAAGCAAGCCCGCTGCAGCAAGAGACAGGTCTAAGCTCTTGCAACAAAGTTTGCTTTTCAATCTAGTGTTTTTAATGTAAGTTGCTTGCTAGGTACTTGGTTCCCTTCTCTTTAGAAGAAAACCTCAGCCTACCAATAGAATTGTAGTTCTCTTCCAGAGAATGGTGTTCTGAAAGCAGTGAATATCCGCAGAGGGGCGCAATCCTGGGTATTTGTCAGGGTCTTAGAGAAAGAAGTCAGGCGTGAGGCACCAAGGATTTGGTTCCAGAAACTTCCAAAAGCAAAGCGCACTTTATTTTTGATGTATTCCTTTTTTTTTTTTTTTTGTGGTCACTGCTAGTGCCAAGCATTGCATCTGGAAGGGAGATCTGTTACCTTTATCATGAAGAAAATAAGTTGCCTTGAAAAGGAGCCAGCTGGCGTCTTTTGCATCCCTCCAGGGTCCTAGTCAGTCCACACCCCTTTACTGGTTGCAGTGCAAATCGCACCCAAAATACCTGTCTGCCTCAAACAGTACTTGGAGGGCTTGAAAGGTGGGTGGACCTGGAGAAAAGGTTGGGGCTTTGGTTTCATGGCGTCTCCCTAGAGCCTGCTGCTTGCTGGAGATGGACATGCGTGTCCCTTTGGTTTCATGGCGTCTCCCTAGAGCCTGCTGCTTGCTGGAGATGGACATGCGTGTCCCTGAACATATCCTTGTTTAAAGAGCTGATGCCACTGTCTAGTATGTATGTCATCATTGCCCCCTATCCATCCTTGCTGAGGTTAACTGGTTAAAAGTTTCTTTCTCCACTACCACAGCCACCTTGAGCCGACTTGATCAGCTTTGAAGAGCGTTTGGTTGTGCACAAGCCTGGCAGGGGCATTTCACTGAGAGCTTAGACTTGGAAACTATGTGTAAAAAGCAAAAGAGAAATACAGTCAGGCAGACAGGGCTTAAGAAGCATCTGTTCTTTGTTCTCTTCAGGCATAAGGATCACTGATATGTAATCAGCAGCTTATTCTGAACTCTCTTGTCCCCCAAATTTCTGATGTCCCACAACTTTCAGCCAACTTAAAAGTCAGTTTCACTTTAAAATAGCCCATCATCCCTTGAGGAGTCAAGGTGGCATAAGCGTTTTGTGATTGGCAGTTTGAGCCCACGCCAGCAGCACCATGCAAGAAAGGCCTGGGAAACTGTTAACCTACAGTTTCCAGCTCAGGAATCCCTTTGGAGCAGTTCTGCTAAGTTAGAACTGACCTGAGAACAGGTTTTGGTTTCATCCTCCCTTTGCCTGTTTGGGGAGCAGCTGGCCTGGGTAATAATTTAGAAATTCCACGTCCTCCCCCCCCTCCCCCAACAGAGACCTGTGCTTTCTTAGACTCTTAAAGGTCTAACTTGGAAGACAAAAATAGCTGTTGAAACAGGGCCATTGTGTAATTTCTGAGCTATTTTGAGGGAATTGTTTAAACCTTTCTTTAGGCACTTAGGCGCTGCAGGAAATCATGGTGATTCGCATCAGATTCCCACGGAAGTCTTGTGCTATGAGAGACATGGCCTTGTGGGCTGTGCTTTCTCTTTGGGGTGGGGATGGAGATGGGTCCTCTTAAAACCTGAAGGTCCTTCCTAGCTTTTCAAGTTAGTGTAAGGTCATAAGGTACTGAACTTAACATGAGTCATCCCACAGACTTCCTGCAAAATCAGCAACTGCATAGTGTTCTTTAAATTACTTTAAAAGAATAAATGCCAAGAGTCTGCCTTAGATCCTGCATTTCTATACCTAGCTGCAGCTTCCACGTTTGGCCATTAAGTCTCCTGGAATTGGGGGCCAGAAACGCTCAGAGATAATTTTAGAAAGCTTTAAAAATAGAATTTTCCAAATATTTTTAAATGGGTTGATAAGTATCTCTTTCCCCCTCTCCTGTCTTGATCATATTTTGAAGCATGTCTAGTTACATACTGTTTTTGTAGATTTTCTTTTCCAGGTTAATTTCCCAAAGACTTGTTCATCCTCCAACTTTTAAAAAGTTTTCTCTTATTTTTTTTTTAAAATTCACAGAGCGTTGTGTTTGTGGATTTTTAAAGATATCAGTGTTTTGTTTAAATGCCGTGCCGAGCAATTGCTTTCTGCACCTAGTGACCAAAAGGTAGCGATTTAGATCAATTCTAATCAATGTTGAGTCACTTGAAACGTGTACTGTGTACAGATGAAGTAATATGGCATATCTAGTGGGTGTGCTTGTTGTCCAGTACACGTAAACTCAATTCTGTATTTTATTAGAACTCCACTGAGTCCATTTCACATGCACCCTTTTTATTGGGGGGGGGGGCGGTGTATGCTTGGTGCTGGTACATATGCAGATGTCCTCAGAAAGGAAGGCTCAAATTGCTCATGTAACAACAACAAGCACAAAAAGATGAATTTTCTAGGCAGTACCGAAAGAAGATGTTTTGGGGCAGAGGAACCAGCAATCAGCCATTGTCCCTGGGACTCTGTTCAGTGAACTCCCACTGGCTAGTCTCCTGGGCCACGCTGGACTGTTTGCGGACTGGGCGAAGGAGGACGGGGTTTGGTTTTGTGCTGTATTGTTTTAGTGACATAAAAACTGAATTTGAAAGAAGCGAGAACGTGAGCAAACCAAAGAAATCTGAAGCATCCAGGAAGGAAAAGCTAAGAGAGAAGTGAGAAAGGAGAAAGGAAGAAGGGATGAGTGGATGAGGAAAGTCCGGGCTGGAAGTGCATGTTCAAGTGTGTGTGATTTTAGGTCAAGGTGCAGCCTCAGAAGCAAGACGGGGAGGAGAGTGAGTGAAAAGGGATGCAGGTGTTGGACCCACCTGAAAAAGGCCCCATTACTTGATGCTAACCTATTTTCAGGAACCCTATTGGTGCACGGAGGTAAGAGCTGGGCTGCTGACTGAAAAGATCAATTGTTCTAACCCACCAGCCATTCTGTGGGAGAAAAAGGATTGGGGGGGGGGAATCTGCTTCCATGAAAATCCCAGCCTCACAAACTACAGGGAAGTTTGGCTGTGGCCTGCAGGGGTGTTTAGGAGTCAGAATTGACTCCCTGGAAGTGAATTTTGTTTGTGCCAAGTCCCAAAGTGCCAGATATTTAATTTAAAAAAAAAAGGAGGAGAAACTAGAAGTTAGAATGTTTAAATGGAATAATAAAACTAATTTGAAAATGTTCAAAACAGCGTGGACCAAAGACAGCATTAGATTGAGCCTGAGGCCACCAGTTGGTGACCCCTGTCTTACATAGCTAAACCCCCACCCCCCATTTGTCCTTGTACAAATTCTATTTATTTGTTTTGACTACATTGTTCTGTAGAGTTGAAGGTGCAAGTTTTCAAGTCTTTTGCATTTCTCAGAGCTAAGCTGTATTGTAAAAAACACATTCCCTAAAAAAAAAAAATTAACACACTGATAGATAATAACACTTAATTCCGAGAAGGCTCAGAGTTCTGGAGACCTTTTCTGGAACCAGCCAGGGGCCAGTTCTTTGCATTTTTCTTCCTGGTACTTTGAGGGTAAGCTCCTGGGCCTGGAGTTAACAGATGAGTAATCAGGAAGGATTGTAGAAGAATTTGTTTCCTTTTTATTTGTATTTTTTTGAAATAAAATTATTATTTTATATTGGTTTACTTAACAGAGTTCTTTTTATTTGTATTTTTAAGGACCCATTAGGGAGCACTGGTGACCTAGTGTGTAGGGAATTGTGTTCCTAATGCAAAGGTGGACAGTTCAACCTTACCAGCTGCTTCATGGGGGAAAGATGGGCAGTGTGATTTACAGCCTTTGAAACCCCGCTGGAGGGTCAGCTCTGAGTCACTTCTGACGCTACAGCAAAAAGTTGAGAACTCATTAGTGCTTAAAATTTATTTTATTTATTTATCTGTATATTTTGTTTTGTGGGCTCTTAGCCTGTGACTCAGCCTTGATCCCTGGTGGCTGTGGATACCAAAAATATCTAGTGATGGGTCTTTAGCTTATTACTTTCTGCTCTGCTAGTACCAGCCTCCTGGCCTGGTAGTACCCATCACAGTGGAAAACACCCCCTCTTCTCAGGAAGTTATCCTGCCACCCTTCCAAAGCTTTGCCTCCTAATCTCAGAGAGGAAGTCATTTTTGCCCAATGGCTTCTGACTTTGATGGAGCTGTTTACTTGTGGAACTGTCTCCCTTTCCAGTGGTGGGAAGAATTAACCTCCTCATGGCCAGCAGGCATTTTTTTTTTGAGAGTGTTATCATCATGGTGTGTGTTAATTTTTTTTTAATAAAAACCACACACATCTTCTATGGAGACACTGCTGTTTACTTTGTCCCTATATAGCGCATGGCTTGGTGGGAGAAGAGCAAGTTAGGAAGGAGATGAATCAACATGTATACAGAGCTAAATGGGATCTCAACAAGTTCTTAAAGTATTCAGGAATATTCTTAGCACATTTTGCTCTTTTTAAAAAAAGTGCCTTCAAGCACTCGCTGAAAACATTCCTACTCTGTAATGTGGATTATGGCCCTAAACTGTGTGCTGTGTTGCATTCCAGTCATGGCCTCCGTTTGGTTCGAATGACAGAAGCCAACAAGTTCACCAAAACAACCTAGTTGCTAAAGTCATGGGTGGATCATGTGGACGGCATCTGCGTTTTGGAGGGGCCTTCATTTTCTATTCCTGGTAGGGTAAAACTTGCACTTTTAATCATATGGGTCA